CAGATGGCCAGAGCGAGCTTGGATTTGTGTTTGGCAAGGCCAAACTTGCACCACAGCCGGATGTAACTATTCCCAGACTCGAACTCTGTGCAGCTGTTCTAGCCGCGGAGATTGCAGATATTATTTTGGCTGAGATGGATGTCCAGTTCCAATCAGTGAGATTGTTCTCGGATACATTCGTAATGAATCCAGGAGGTTCTATACTTACGTAAGTAACCATGTGCAGAGAATCAGGAAGTCATCCTTACCAGAACAATGGAGCTATGTTCCCACAGACTTAAACCCGGCAGACCTCGCTTCAAGATCTGTTCCAGCAAGCACCTTGATGTCTAGCGTGTGGCTAAAGGGTCCAGACTTCCTGTTAAAGCAAGCAATATGTGAGGAGGATAAGCAAGAATCCTTCTGTCTAGTAAACCCTGAGTTTGACCCTGAGATTCGCCCATCTGTGACATCTTACGCCACTCGAGTTGGAGAGTCTTCTTTGGATCCAAGACGTTTCGAGTCATTCTCATCTTGGAAAAAACTTGTGAAGACAATTTCAAGGCTAATCCATATAGCTAGCTCCTTCAAGCGAGACGACAGCAGGAGCAATTGTCAAGGCTGGCACATCTGCAAGGATCTTTGCCCAGAAGACCTGGATAAAACTAAGATGGTCATCATACGCGGTCTACAATTCAAGATGTTCCCTGAGGTCTTTGCATGCATTCAGGCAGGGAAGGAGATTCCAAAGCAGAGCCAGCTCGTAAGGTTGTCTCCTTATCTGGACGATGCTGGTTGCCTCAGGGTAGGGGGTCGTCTATCACAATCTAGTCTGGAAAGTGATGAAAGGAACCCACTTATCATTCCTCGTCGTCACCATATAACTACTCTACTAGTACGACACTACCATCAGCAAGTACAGCATCAAGGACGCCACTTTACGGAGGGTGCAGTAAGGTCAGCTGGTCTGTGGGTTATTGGCGGAAAGCAGTGTGTCAGTGCTGTGATTCACAGCTGCGTAACCTGCCGCAAGCTCCGATGGAGAAGAGAGACACAGAAAATGGCTGACTTACCTGTGGATC